AAAATCAAACTCTTTGGCATCAACTTGACATGCCATGTTTGGAGGAAATAAATGCTTTGAGAATGACCCAAAGAACACCATCCCCACAGTCAAGTAACAGAGGTGGAAAAAACATTATGCTTTGGGACTGTTTTACTGCAGAGGATACTGGATAACTTCAGCACATTGTGGAGCCAATGGACAGGACCATGTATTGTAAAACCTTGGATAAGAACCTACTTCCCTTAGGAAGAACACTGCCGATGGGTCATGGTTCTTCCAGCATAACAATGGCCCAAAACATACTGCCAAGGCAACAAAATAGTGGGTAAAAAAAAAGAAGAACAGTAAGATCATGGAGTGGCCTAGACAGTCTCCAGACAGTCTCCAGACCTCGGTACTTGAGAAAATCTGTGGATGGAGCTGAAGGTTTCAGTTGCCAACCAGCAACCAAAATTTAAAGAGTTTCTGTAAAGAGGAGCAGACCAAAATCCCTTCTGAGATGTGTGCAAACCTGATGACCAACTACAACAAATGTCTTAGAGCTGCGCTTGCCAAGAGTTTCCCAACCAAGTACTAAGTCATATTTCATCTACTTATACATACTAATTTTACTTAATGACATGCAAGTCAATTTAAAACTTTGATGTCCTTTTATTCTGGATTTTTGGTTAATATTCTGTCTCTATCCAGTAAAATGAGAGTACTTTAAAAAATATAGACTGTCCATTTCCTTATTAGCAAACTTACAAGTTTATAGGAGATCAAATAATTGTTTCCTCCACAGCATTGTAGAGGAAACTTATTATTTGAACTTAGTTAAGTAATTCAAGTAATTTGACATTCTGGGACACAAGTTCTGTATTTTGCATTATTGTTTCGGTACAGAAATGGCAATTTTACAAGACAGTGTCTCCCAGTTTTTCTAGCCGGTTTCAAAATGACACTTTGTGACATAATAATATTAGGCAAATTAGCATGGAAATGAAGGAAAGTGCCAAGCCAGGTCATGACAATGAACCGATCATCTCTTTTGTTAGTCTTTAAATGAGGGACTGAATGGAAATAAATCTGAATGGGAATAAATCTTATTAAGATATTATTTGAAAGCCATGCTGTTGACCATCTTATGAACGTGGTAGACTTTGCATTCAGATCACAAAAAATGCTAATAAGATATGAATAAAAAATTTGTTGAAAGCCATTACCATCTAACTATTATACACCATATGAAGAACATGCTTAGTATAATTTTAATTTCATAGGTCTTCCATGGCTTTGTAAGTAGAGACTAGAAATCCTTTGGAAACTATGCACAGTTACATTTTTTTCTAACTTGTTTCACAAATGGTGTAAAAAGACTTTCTGTAGTGATTCTCAGACTGCTGCCTGAAATTATAAAGCAGGATTCAGGTTGAATCTCTCACAGTTGGCCCGCAGTGTGTTAGCTGAATTTCCTCCAGTGGCTGCTGATGCAGCTGCAGCCTATAAATAGGCCCACCCTAGACAGGCGGAGGGGAGGAGGGCTTTGGTTAACCCCTGAGACCCAGTCCTAATCTGACCCCAATAATAGCAGACATCATTAGAGAGGCATTTCAGCTGACTGGCCAGGAAGGATACAACCTCTGTCTGGAGAGATTTTAGGATTGCAACATCTCAAGAGAAGCACAGGACTCTGGTTTAAGCACTTTCAAACTCACCTCGTTGTTACCTCTCTGTCAACCTACTCTTCTTTTGCCACTTTATGACACAATGTAGACAGGAGAGAAGTAGCAAACTTTCTACCACCCATTCTCGCCTTTCATATCTCCAGATGGCAGAGTGTTAGAAAGGTTTGGTGCTTCTGTGCCTCATGTGCATTGCATGGCCTGGATTCAACAAAGCAGTTGTAGCAAAGCTTTGCTTCCCCAACGGTGCTTTTCTGCAATCAAAGAGTATTCATCTCCCTCTTGCCCTCCCTCTTGTAGAGCCATTTTGGCACAGTTTGGATCTCTTTTCACCCTCCCACTCTCTCTCCCTTCTCACTGTTCTGTCCCTTCCATAGTTAGTCTTGGTCCTCTTGAGGGGATAGCAAGACATTCACTGATGTGTAGATTGTATCAGATTTATTACACAGAGGTTTACAGGTTAGTCTTAATTAAGAGGTGAAATCATTAAGAAGAGATAGATAAAGAGAGGGTGCCACTGAGAAGACCTGTCTTAGGCAGAAATCTTCTCTCTGGTCCTTAGGGCTTCTAGACAACCAGAAATCTAACACCTGCATTATCCACCAGATTTTCCAGGAGGAGGACTAAGCAATAGTAATGCTTGCTGGATTACATAGACTGTGAAAGAAGGCAGCAAGGAAATATCCCCAACTCAGCTCAGTACTTGAAGAACAGCTAATCATATTTGCATGAGTTTATTCAGTCTTCGAACTTTAAATTCAGCAGCACTTTGAAAGTAAAGGGAAAGTAAGCCTTCATTTGTAGGATTTGTTAATTTCTTAAAGTTGCAAATGAAAATCGGTGTAAATGATTACAGTCATGTCTTCTTTCTTTCCTATGCCAAAGTAGAAAATATCTGGTTAGATCTGAGTGTCTCACACAGCTTTAGGCATGCCTATGCATCTGACATGAACTAATGAAACCCTAAAAATCTGAAGATATGCAACCCCTTTTTGGAGATAATCCACAAGTTTGTTTATCCTTTTTATTGCTTTTGTGGTGTTTTTCCAGCGCATTTCCAGGAGACTTGGCAATTAAACACTTTGATGTATTTTTTCTGGATTGTGGTAATGATGTTTGCATTTCTGTAGGTGGAATGCTTTTCTTCTTTAGCTCCACTAGATACGGTTATTGCTTCTCACATTCTACAAGGATTACAAATAAAATGATATATCCTCAAAGCTACCCGGCTCAAATTGGGTACTTATTACCTAAAGTGTCATCTCAAGCTAAGGTCATTAGATTGAGTCAAACCAGCCCTACGAACACATACAGGAACTTGGTGCAGCTCTTATCGAAACCATTCTTCATTCTTTTAGAGAAGGACTCTTTCTTTTCCAGTGTTTTAGTTTGAGCTTCAAACCATCACATGTTATTTTATTTTGCTATTGTGCTTTAAGAAGACCAAACTAAATATTGCTTTTAGTTGCAGAACTCCTGCATTTTTGTCCATTCTTTTGCAATATATGCCTAATTTATTTATTTATTTATTTTGGCTCAGTTGATTGTCCAAGGTTAAGGCTGTCTTGTATGTTATATTTAATGACTAATACTGCCAAAACTAGTTGAACAGCTAGTTGCATTTTTACAAGGCATAGACCTACAATTCAAAACAAGCAATCAAGGAAATATTAAGGACCAATAAAAATGATTGCGCTTGCTGTCTAACATTAGTTGTTCAAATTATTTTTGACTGACAGAAACGTGCAAATACAAATAACAAAACTCTTTTTGTAGAATTGTATTTGATCTAGTTTCACGTATTTAATCGCTTACTCAGGCACTATTGCAGTGTGAAATTGAGAGATACAGGCAAATAACTGGAAATGAACCATTCAAATTTCAGTGACAGTTTTGCTGCATAATTCATTGTTATGAATGTGTGCTTCACTCTGCATTAATCTGTAACGTATATTACTTTGTCTCAGCGGCATTTTATTTTTTTCCATTGGAATGTGCTGTCTCTCGATTTCCAATATGTGTATGGCACCCATATGAGATACCATTGTACAATATGGAAATAAAGTTAATGGAGGTATGCTTTTAAAGTCTGAAAAATCTATTTCATGTGTGGTGTTGCACAAGTATGTTAAACAAAAAATACCAGTTTTCCTCCTTAAACCGATCTTTGTAAAATAAGCATTACTGTAGCTACAGTGGTGGGACAAGTCTGACTGGTTTCCAGATGTGCTTTTGCTTTTAGAGGCTGCTCTTAATCTCCCTCTCCTCTTCTATAGTGGTCCAAATAAACTTGCTTTGTGCTATACATGTGAAGTGATATTAAAATAAAACAGATGGGCACAATCCTTTGATTTTGTTCACAACATCCGGAAAACTTCCTCTCAAAAATCTTAAGTTAGAAAGTAGATGAATGCTTTTTACGAGCAAGCATGTTGACCTTTAATATTTAAAATCTGTTTAAAAAAAAAAAATCCCAGCTCCTGCCAAACCGGTGGGCCTGTAACCAAGAAGAAGTTGTTTGTTACAGGTAACTGGGGTAATTTATTTTCACACTCCTGCGCTTTTCGTTGTTTCAGCATTGCCAACTCCCTCTGCAGAACCTGTTAGCAAAATAAGCCTAAGGCAGCAAGCTTTCTCTAGAGGCAAGGGGTCATAGGAGTTACCCTACATTCACAGGGAACAATTGTTTGCTGATATAAGTACAATTTAGCCTTTTCTTTACATGAGACCATGTGTATTTTAGTATGGACTAATCATGAAATCCTTTGACATTGTTTATTCAACTGAAATGATTTGTTTGGATCAGAACCAATCTTCTCTGGCAAACAGAAGAAGGATCCATGGCTCACCAACAATGTCCTTCTTCAAAGCAGCATTAGGGGCTGCTTTGAAGTGAGTTTAACACTCCTGTGAATACTGGAAAGGAAAGAACTGCTCGATCATCTACCCAGAAAAAAAAAATGAAACAAGACCAGTGTTTGAATATCCTCTTCTGTTATCTTTGTCTTGTCACATGCTATTACCTCTACAGAAAGCGGACTACTTGTCACATGCAGAACACTGTACTACGTCAGTCTTCATTAAGATTTATCCATGGCCACAAATGAAGCCGAGAGACTGTCTCTTCGAGGTTATCGTGTCAGCAGATTTTTAATCCCTTTGCCATTAGACCTTATAATGAATAAACTTATCATGAATCAATGAGGTAATTGCAGGCAGGATTACTTTGTGCACTCTCAGGCCATGTGACAACAGTTTATTCATAAGAGAAGCTCTAGGGGTAAAAAGGTTGCTCCTGTCCCATTCATCACTGGAGAATTCACCTTAGTAATGCTCTCTCCTTTTGCTTCACAGGTCACAGATGGAGGTACTATCAAGCAGAAAATCTTCACCTACGATGCTATGTTTAATACAAATTACTCTCACATGGAGGACTACCGCAGGCGTGAAGACCTTGTATACCAATCAACTGTCCGGTAAGCCTAAAAATGAATTCAGTTTTCTTGTTTTTCATAATAGATTTGTTTTGCTGCAGTGGTGAATTGTAAAATATTAAACTCACTGTATAATCAAACAACCTTCTGACACTGTGATGAAATGCACTAAGATGAATTCCTGTTCGGTACAACCCAACTTCATTCCCAGCCATCTGCTGGTGGTCAGATGAGGCCAGAAGGCCAGACTCAGTGACCAAGCAAAGGGGTTTTATTACATGAGGACAGGAGGCAGTGGCAAACTCTAATCATCAACTCTGCACAGGATAAAGTCTTTAGTGTTAAAGATTTATCTAACATCTGGTCAGGCTGCCCTATTATGTAGTGGTTTTATATATCCCAGGTAGCAAACCCAATCTCTTACACTTGGAGCGATGCAGCACATGGAGTTGAGCATGTGCTTCACCTATATTTGAAGGATCTGTTATCCACAGGATACATAGTACTGCTATGTATACATTAACAAGTTTTATTAAGTTGCCAAGAAATTGAGAACATCAGAGTAGGAGGAGTCTCGTGACTTTGGTTGGCTTGATTACACATTTAAGGCATCCCAGGGACGGCCTTCTTTTACCCCAGGCCTTACAATACGGCTGGCAGCTGTCTGCATATCTCCACATTTCTCTCTCCCTCTGCTTTGGGTCTTCTCCTGTAGATATCATTATTTGAATGCTTAGCGGCACAAAAGGAAACGCTGGCCATTCATTGCCCTTGCAACTTCATTCAAACCCAGAATGCTTCACACTTTGCATCCTTTTTGTAATGATCCCACTTTCATCATTCCTTTTCATCTCATCTTTATCCTGCTGTTTTTTGTTGTTGTTTTTTTGATTTGGCTCATGTACATTACCTCGATGTATTTTCTCTCCTTTTTCTTTCTATTCTCTTTTCTCCTGTGCGGTGTGTCTGCCCAGCTGAAAATGATTTATTTAGACAATCCTACTATCCCTTTGGGACTGTAGGCGTAATCAAAATGGAATGGCGTACACACTTATATTCACACTAACATGAAAACATGTTTGTACAC